TCTATGGTTCTATAACTCTACAATTAACAGGGAGACAAGACTTTCATCTTCAGGCTAGGTTGGAGTTGAATGCAGATCCTAACACTACTTACTTTTATTCATTCATGGGATGTGGGCACTACTGGCTAGGCCAGTATTTATTTTTCATCCACAATTGTCCTTCACAAGATGGTGGTGAGCCATTTCTTGAATCACTGCTGTGCAGTTAGGAAGGGAGTTCCAAGTCTTTAGCACAATGATAGTGAAGGAACAAAGGTGCAGTTCCAAGTCCAGTGGTGAGTGACTTAGAGGGGAACTTGCAGGTGGTGGTGTCCCCATCTGTACGTTGCCTTTGTCCTTCTAGGCGTTCGGAGTTTGGAAAGTAAAAGAACCTTGGTGAGTTACTGTAAATAGTGTATTCTACTGCACTGTGCAGCAGAGGTGGAAGAATTGATTATTTAAGTGTTTAAGGTGGATGGAATGCATTGTTTTGGATGGTGCCCGGCTCGTGAGTGTTGTTTGAGTTGCAGTCATCAAAGCTAGTGGAGAGTATACCATCATACTCCTGTCTCGTGCCATATTAGAAGAGTTGTGCTTTCGGTAAAAACAATTTTATATTTTGAGTTATCTACTTATGAAAGTGAGAGATTTCAATTGTCTTTTTGAACATTTTCTCTCATCTCTTCAATTTGCAGACTATGAATTTGAATGCATTAACCTATTAAATGAATACTTACTGCATAATTCAGGATAATTGTCATTATCAGAAGATTCTGCCAGAAATTATAATTATGGAAACAAGGATTAATTGTGACAGCCTGCACCTGATAGATTGACTTCTTTCTAAGACTTTACTTTCTAGTAATGTGAACTATTCATAGTATGTATAATTACTGTACTTTTTAATTCATGCACTGGCATCTGATTTAACTGTACTGGATTAGATTCAAAGGTATTTAAAAAGGAATTAGTGTCAACCTAAATGGCATAACTATAATCCTTCTTATATGATCATCAATTTTAACCTTATTACAAACACTAGAGAATATGATGTACAACTTATGAGTATAACATTCTTTCAAAGTGCCATATGGTATATATTAACAAGTTGATACTTAAAGACTGGAATGTGCAACTATTACCTGTGTCTAAGTTGCCAAGCATGAAACAGCATGTAGGTCACTGGCAATGAACCAAAGAATTAATCACAAATTTAATAGTTCACTAAAATGAGCCAATAATTAAACTAGTCCATATGGTAACTCATAAAAGATTGATTTTACATTAATACTTATTCTTTGTACAATTTGAAATCCCTCCTCTGTTTTAGGATATTCAGTGCTTTATAATCTGTCGTCAAACTGATACAGATGTTATTAGCATTTAATTTTTGAAAGCCCACTTTTCCTCAGGCAAATTTGGAAAATTTGTATTCCCTCAAACCAGTAATTGAGTTTCTATAATGAATATGCAAAACATACTAACTCTTGAGACTTTATGCACCTCATATCTATTTTTTTGTCATGATCAATCTACCCTTTAAATTTAGACCATAGCTGATTCATTTAAGTACACTTTAATTCTTTTGTGCAGCTACCCACGCATGTTACTTAAAAGGGGGTTGTGTGTGGCCTGCATGAGAAAGTCATTTATCTTAGAGGGAATGTTAGTCATGATCCAAAAACTTCGGAGAGGCCAGTAATAACTGTGTAATATTTAATATCATTCTCATAACATTAAAAAAAATTAACCCATTTCTATTTTGTTAGGTCACATTGTAATTACTTCTATTTAAACCTAAACGTCTTATCTAGACAGCATGAGAGGAATAGGAAAGTCAATATTTCAGGTCAGTACCCTTCAGAATCCTGATGAAGGGTCCCGAGCTGAAATATCGACTTTCCTGCTCCTCTGATGCTGTCCATCCTGCTGTGCTCCTCCAGTGCCACATTTTATTGACTCTGACTTCCAGCATCTGCAGTCCTTGCTATCTTGTGTTTCATCTTGTGTTTGCTGCCTTCAGATAGTGGCATGTAGAGGAAGAGATTTCTGACTGTTTCCTGAATGAATCTTAAGTGACTACATTTGAAGATAACTTATCATTCTTTGTCTTATCATTTGTGGAATGGCCCATTCTTAAGTAGACATCATCGTCAAGTCTGAAGACCCAATTTCCTAACACTTATTACGTAAATGCTGAACTTAAAAACACTGATGATCCATGAGATCACATATCACTTTAGTGTACAATTCTGTCTTTAACTTGAACATGTGAATGATGGTATCTTGTATTTGTCCTAGCAACTAATCTTGCCACGAACCAAACTTTCATGTATTATTTACAGAAAAACATCCCGTTACAACTGCACTTCCAAGACAAAATTAGGTAGCATTTTGACCTCTCACCACTGAGCTCAAATTTCTACTTTTTTATACAATGTTTCCTGATTGGATAATTGTTCAACCTACCTCACAGCTAATCACAGTATGAATTTTTAACCAAATCCTAGGTCAAATAGTTAAGATGCCAAATGTAGATGTTTAAGCAATGCAGATTTTAACAGCTAAAATTAAGTGAATTAATGAATGTATATTTGAACCAAAACAAAGTAAAATATGAAAATATCAATAGTTCTGAGTGAATTTGGGCTCCCACCATTTTTAAACATCAGTTTCTTGCTCATTTATATTGTACTGACCTCTTACACCTCAGTTGTGTTTTTAATCATTGTCTTATCTAAACTCAAAAGTACTAGCAGACACTGAGACACAGCTAAGACCATAAGAAATAGGAACAGGAGTAGGCCACTTAGCCCCCTTGAGCCTGCTCCACCACTCATTAGGCTCATGGTTGATCTGACATTCCTCATGTCCACTTTGATGCGATAATTCTGCAATGATTGTACTTGCAAATGACAGGCAAGTTCAAAAATGCCACTGGAAAGTTGAAAGAACACTGAGTTGAGTTCAATTCTTTCTATAAAATCAGGGCTGTGACAATTCACACTATAGTTTTCAATTTCAATCTTAGGGTTCCCTGGTCAGTTTTGCATTCACCAGTGGAACTGAAGAATGTTCAAGGTGATTGTGACAGACCTTTAGCTGCCTAATTATTAGTTCAGGAGAGGAAAGGCAGACATTAAGCGCCTCTCACTGTAGTAAATATGATCAAAAAATTTCCAAGGAGGAATTAAATAACTACTCCCTCTGGTCAGTGGATGTTGTGGATAGATGACAGCTGCTGAATCCACTATAAAGAATAAATCAGGTAAACTGTAAAATGGACCCACTGAATTTGAAAGTAATAATGTTCAAAACTCAGTAATAAAGCTAATTTAAAATGTGTCTCTTGTGTACTGCGCATTTATATTATCAAGAATGGAAAGTGTATATTGCCACTTATTGAAACATTTTAGACAGTTCAGATAATGACCTTCTTTAATTCTGAAACAGTAGAAGCAGTGAATTGGATTGAGTTTGGCTATTTCATTGAAACACAATCTCATGTAGCCTCATCCTTAAATTGGCTTTATCAATATTTGAGAAATGTGACATTGCTGTTTCATCTTTTTTCTCAATTGTGGGAATGGTTTGCCATAAAACCTAAGAAAACTAACAAATGGAGCATTGGTACTGCACAAATATAAAGAATATAGTGCTGCTGCAGCTATAAATCCTATATATAAAATTATAAACAGCATCAAACTGACTATCACCTCAAAGATCAAACTTAATCTGGTACAATTTAACCAAAGGAGAAATGAAATTTAAACTAATTAATCCTCTTTAAAGGGGCAAGGCCAAAGCTTTGTGTTTGGCACTGATAACCCAAGGAAGCTGGGTTGCAGTGGCCGCATGCATTATCCTCCTCCACCTGCATTGATCTTATGTTGCTCTCACTACTCTCATGAAAGTCAAGCTCATTATTTTTCTGATGTTATCACTCTGTCATGTCTTCTGTGTGTACCTACACTGAATTATCCATCTACTATTCTTTCCAGCAAAATATTTTTGATACTATTACTTTGTGCCACCAGTGCAAAATATTTCAACCTTCGTTTGTCAATTACTGATAACAATCTGTCTGTGTTGTCAATTTCCAACAGTTTGAATACCTACTTATTTGCATGCCCATCAGTCTAGTTCATACTGAGCATCCTTCAGAAACATCAAAGTGCAAAAGTACTGATCACTTTCTTTCTTTCTTGTTCATGACCCGACATTCTGCATCATGAGCAGCAATAGGAAATGCCAATACTTTAAGAAGTATTGGTAAGAAAAATAATTCATTGGTATTAAGAGCAATATATTTTTCTAACAGATTTATCATTCCAAACATTAGTTGGGGAAGTCATTGATTGTTTGGCCATTCCAATTCTGCATCAAATTTTTTCACTATTATTCAACTGTACATTCAGATGACTATTTGCAATAGGTAAGTAGGTGACTACTTCTACATCTGCACTGCTGATTAATTTTCTCCATTCTTCTGTGCCTCTTTTTAAAACTATCCTTTTGGTTCGCCTTTCAAGCTTTTTTCAAGCCTTTACTTTTCAAATCCAGTAGGCATATCTAAGGTACAAGTATACTTCACAATGATGGGAAACACAGTGATGGGATTCCCTATTTCTGAGACACGGTTCTTTTTTCCATTCTTTTTCTTCCTTTGTGCTGTGAAATAGATTAATCACTTATTGCAATCATTTGTTCTAGTTAGACATATTTAATGTAGTACATACAAAAGTCATACAGGCAGGTAATTTCTGGTTCAAATGTTGATTTTGAAATCCATCAAAGATCTGAAAATCTTATATTAATGCCCATGTAAACTAGGGAAAATATGGAATTTCCATCAGTACTACATGTTAAAACACTTCACTATTTAAGTGGACAACAAGCAATGTCACATAAATAGTTTGTGCTGATTAGAATTATTGAATTTTAATAATATATATGATTTTATATTCTGTAACACAGTTGTGATGAATATTCGGTTGATATATGTATCTTTTTCTATTTAGTCTGCTGCAGAGTATGTGAAGGCACACTTGCCTGAGGCCTTGAAACAACATCTTCAAGATTATGAGAAAGATAAAGAAAATAGTGTGTTATCACATCAGACAATCTTGGAACAGCAGATTCTTGCAATAGACCGTAAAGTGCTTGAAAAACTCTCAGCTGCGTATGATGAGGCAGGTAAGTGATACTGGAACACCTTCCTGGTATTTTTAATAATTTGATGTGTGATCCTTTGCTTGCAGGTTACTGCCAGTAATAGTATTCACAGTTATGTCTGAAAGGAATATAATCACTAAAAATCTAATCAATTTATATAAATTTCAGACCCTTGTGGTAATGCTCAGTTGTGCACAGAACCATGAGCTTCATGTGTTCATCACATTGAATTAATTTCTTTAAATGGTTGTTGGTCTGAACATCTGTGGCACAATATAACATTGGCTGCAGACACCATTATTCTGGATGCTCTCACTTCTCGAATCCACGAATGCATATTGAATGGCTATTAGTTAATGACTGATCACACTTTCATTTTCATTTTGTCACTGACTTTCTCCTGTGTCCTCATCCCCTTGTTGGAATTGTCTCTTTACTATGGTTTGCTTCCCCAGTTGACGGATTATCAGTGATTTTTCTTTACTAGTCATCCAACTAAAAAGGAAATCATAAAGAGTTGAGTTCTGCCCCTCCTCGCAAGAGGGAGCTTCATTCCCTGCCACAAGTTCACTGCCCTATTATAATGCTAAGGCCTACCAGGAAACAGAGAATGTATGCTGCTAATACTCGTATTAGTTCCATTGTTGCATTTGCAAATGGAGAATTTAATGCCCATTTCAGTCTTTTTGCCAGATTGGAATTTGACTGACTACAGCATGCATTTTTGTGATCAGTTTCTTCAGGCATTCTGCGGTTGTTCAACTGGTCCTTAAAAAATGAAATGAAGCCACAAGAAAGCTAAGTTTTAAGATTTATTGCTTATCTCAAAATGAAGCCAAGAGAAATAACATTGTTTCAGACGACTTCTCATTTAAAGTGCAGGCAGTGGTAGGTAAATGCTTGTCCAATTCCCATTTGCTTCCTAAGTAACTGGATCTTCTCGAGGATAATGGCTAGTCTGTGAGCCAGTATATCTTGTTGAGCCTTTCCCCTATCAAAACCAGTAAGTTCTGAAGCTGTTGGTTTGATCCATTAGGGATGCTAACACATAATGGAAAATCGAAACATCTCCCTTTAAGCTATATGCCACAAGTTTTCAGTTTTTCTAAGAAAAATAAACTTGATATTAAAAAATAAATTAAACAAGACAAACAGCCATAATACTATGAGTTATTACTGTGTATACTATGTACACAGGTTTATTTCTCATTTTCACCAAGAATTCTTTAATATTACACTTCAGTCAAAGTTAATTTACAGGACCTAAGTACGTCTGACATAGTCTTCCTATGAAATTTCCCCAACTCCAGCTATTCTCAGAGATAAAACTTTCATTTACTTCATCTTGACTGTAGATGCCTCAGTCCTTAATTCTAGTTTCTTCAACATTTCCAATTAATCTGATTGCTACCTTCTTTGCAAAAGCTCTGAAGGGACCATTGTAGATTCTCCTTCTAGTTTTAAATTAGGCAATCTTCCAGATACTGTGAACTCACAAATTTTATTAGCGATTAAGCCTCATCTGCCTTTCACACAGTGAATTATGAGGTTGAATTTTTACTCTGCTTATCACACAGGCCCACCTAACTGTTATTTACTTTAGCTATCTTCTCTTAGTGAGCCGAAAACTGCACATGCCCATTCCAAACTGCAGCTAAGTCTCTTAAGCAAACACCCGGATAAATTGAAACCAGGCAACCTTCCTAAGCTTCACCATTGCCATGATGATGTAGCCTACTCTGAGCTAGCCTGAAATGAATCTTGATAATAATTGTCTCTCACTTGCAATTTCTTCTTTGATCTGATGAAGTAAATGGATTTTACAAATTTTCATGGTTCATTAAATGCTTATAAACTAATTTAGCACCAATTCCCAAGACAAAAAAACCTCTTTCTGGACTGCACAATTGCAGACATCATATCTCCAGTTCTCCAGCTAAGTAAGCCAGCCTGCTGTTTTATTGCTCTTTCTTTTCTCCTATGGCTTAATTAAATGTACAATTATCAATTTTGATCTAAAATTTTGTGCGCTTTTCTGGTACCCCCTTAAACCCAACATTTTAATTAACTTGTCTATAATTTTGTCAGAAATAATCATTACTTGTGAAATATTAACATGTACTAAATAATTATAACACTACAAATTTAAAAGAAAGATGGGTTTTCATTTACATAGTGTCTTTCACGACATCAGGAATTCCCAGAGTGCTTTACACCAATTAAAGGATGGAATGCACAGTTCAATGGCAGACTTAAATGAGGCTAGTGAATTAGTTTGCTCTAGTTCTGCCACCAGATGCACTAGATATTTCTACAGGTTTACACTGTGATTGTAGGGCAATATGATTAAGCAATAGTATTGGACTATATAAATACAGCAGCGATTTGGTGGAGGTGTAGAAGGTTAAGTTATAAAGAGAAGAATCAAAGTATATGAAGCAAAAACAAAGTTGCTGGAAAAGCTCAGCAGGTCTGGCAGCATCTGTGAAGGAAAAAACAGAATTAACGTTTCGGGTCTGGTGACCCTTCCTCAGAAAGTATATGAAGCAGTTGGGTTGAGGTACTGATGACCCATGAAATGATTGAACAGCAGAATAGGCTGAGATTGAATGGCCTTTTCTTCTTAATGTTTGCTTCATTCATAATTTAGGATGACAAAACAAATTGCATTTTTCATTTCCAATTGCTTTCAGCATTGTAATTTGGTCTCAGAAGTAGTCCAAAATGGTAAAGTTGATTTGGCTGTCTTATACTTAAATGTTTAAGTGTTTTATTAAAGCGGGTGCATCAGTCCTTCCCCAGTTCAGCAGAAGTCTCACTGGTCTCTGCAGTCAAAACCACCCTAAAACCTGAAGAAACCAGTTAATCTTTTCTGAAATAGTTGTTGTAAACTGTGACTTTTAACTGATAAGTCAGAAACTTTTAAAAAAGTGAACCAGCTATCTTGTGTCTCTTACCACCCAGTGGAAGCATCTTTAAAAATACAACTGAAGCAATGGTCTCCTGGGTTTCTTTGCCTTTAAGTTTCAAAATGCATATACTTGATGAGATTGGTGCTAACAACTCGATACATGTGGTAAAACCAGCAAATGATTGACATTGTAATTATTAAACAAAACCCAAAAATTAAAAGATGAGATCTCCACATACATAAAAAGCAAAACCTCCAAAAGTGATTGCTTGAGCATACACGAGATGAGACTCTCACAGAAACAAATAAAATCACTCACGTAAAAAAAAATGAATCTTTCAAACATAAAAAATGAGGCAATTATGCAAAAAACAAAACCCCCAAATGCAAGAAATATACAAACCCAAAAGGGAGACCATCATCATTTCCCCCTCCCCTATCTAAATATGCATAACTGTGGCCTGTTATCCTCCTTTATTCCACCTGAGAAATTGGAGACTTCAGTTGGTTAAAATTTTGCATTTGAGGACCAGAGAAATGTTCCACAGTTTTTAATGGATTGTAATCTATCATGAAACACCATTTTCTGATCTTGCAGGCCTAATGGAAAGACTGAGGTTCCATTCTACATTTTCCCAATTTTTATTTCTATTCCTTCAACAAATATAGTTTACAAACAATTTTTTTATGATGAATTATGGTAAAGTTCGAACTCAATGAATGAAAACAGCAAGTTAGAGGAAGAGTGTAATAAAGGAGCCTTTACTAGTATTCTGTTGGACATTACACCAGAAATCAGAGCCAGAGCTCTGGTCACCACCACTCTCTGCAGCAGCATTCAAACATTCAAATAATGCTAACTGAACTAAAGTCTTGCTCAATTTCAATGTTTCATTTAGATGCAGCATTATTACTAGATTACTTTTAAGGCTGTGTTACTACTCAACGGTAGCATGCTAGAAATGGAACCCTGCTTTTTCCAGAATCATCACAAAGGTTAAAATAATTATTAACTGTGCAACATTGTCCAATTTACATGACTTTCAGACCCAAGTTGATAGCATGCACAAGTTTCTGTACTGAACAAGAACTATCGCTTATTACAAATAATAAGATTATAGCAACAGCTATACAGTTATAAACCATTGGCCTATAACACGATCGATTAAAACTCTAATCCACTGAAACTCCTTCTTACACACACACAAGCAGATAGATTAATTTTTATGGGCAGAGGTAAAAATGGGAAAGACAGTTCAGTAGTCTTTTATCCCAGATTCTGTAGCTGAGACTATCCTTACGACTCTTCTGCTGACCAGCATGTTGCTTCAGTCGTCTTTTTCCAGATGCTTCCACTGTGTTGGTAAGAGACACAGGGTGGCTGGTTTGCTTCAAAAAAGTGTCTTACTTATCAGTTAAAAGTCACAGCTTACAACAACTGTTTCAAGAGAGGAAAATTCTGTTTTTCTTCAGGTTTAAAGTTAGTTTTAATGGCAGGCAACAGAGGGTCTACTCCTGAGCTGGAGAAGAATAAACAGTTCTTTCCCTGTGTAATTTGTTTCCAACTCCTAGTTGTTCAGTTACCTGAGAATCAATCATAAAGTTGTTATCAGACAAAAGTCACTGTCATCATTAACTGGTCATTAGTCATAGACCAATCAACTTCTTGTCGCCAGAAAAAGCTACAGCCAAACACCCTCTTGGCTCCAAATCATCTACAACTCAAATTTTAGTTACTGCATGTTTACAATGCATAGCATGGATGTCATGTTACTTGCTTTTCAAAACTGCAGCTACCCTTTCAAACACTGGTTTTAAAACGGCTCTTTCTCATTTCAGTCCAAATCTTTAATTTAAAATGCACAAAATAAAAAGGCACACTCCTTACAGCTTCTTTAGGTGAATAACACAATATATTATAGAGCTTTAATTACTGTAAGATGTTTAGAAATCAATAATGATATATATGTAACATTTTCCTAAACATTTATAGTTAACAGCCTTTTGACTCAGATTTTCAATTAGAAAATCAAAATATTGTAACAAGTAGATGGCTTCCTATCTGCCAACGTTTAGGGCAAATTATCTCACCCAACCACTTACTTCTCAA